CCGCGCGCAGGCCCCGTGCGCAGGGCCCTGGCGACGGCTCCTGCCTCCTTCACCCCCTTGGTCTCCTGCAGATACCGGTGCCAAACACCTGTGGCTCCCGGCGCCTCTCCCGGGATGTGGAACCCAGCAACCCCGTGACGCTGCCACCTCCCTCCCACCAGAGCCCCGTGTCCCCGCGAGCTGCTCCTCGTCCCGTCCCCGTCCCTGCGCGGGTGCCCCTCAGTGCCGGGGTCGCCCCTTCTCCAGCCTCTCGCTCTCTCCACCCTCCCGTCCTTCCCGGCACCTCCCCTGGATTCCCGCATTCCCCATGTGTTTCCGTGTCCCCTCTTCCCGCGGGGCTGCGACCTGCAGCCGCTGCCTGCTGCTCTCCTGTGCCGGCCCCGGCCCCCTGCCCAGCGCCCGCAATTCGGCCTCCTCTCCCTGCTCCCCTGCCCGTGGTTTGGGCATTTCTGATCCTGCAAAGTGAAATGTTCCTCAGTTCTTTTTTTCTGAAAGTCACAGCCTTTCATCTCTGAAATTTTTATACTCTTAGTTCTGTCAAAGACCAGATGCATCTCCCAGGAAGTTAGCTGTAAATGGAATATTTAGTGATGTCAGTCACTCTCTTGCATTGTGAAAATTCCTCTCTTTTATGAAATTACTGTAAATTCAGAAAATAATGTAAAGAGCAGTCAGATAAGCTTGGATGACCCATTTCGGGTCACATTTTCCGGTTCTGGGGCTGTCCTAAGAGTAGCAGCATTACCCAAAGGTCCAGGTACCCCCTGAACGCAGCAGTGCTGCGAGGAGCGAGGCGCTCCCGAGGGCTGGCCCTGGAGCTCCCCTTTGGGGCCGAAGGATGGACCTTCCTGCGGTCCAGCTGCGTGAAACCCAGCCGGTCCTGCAGCGCCGCGATGCTGCAGCCGCTGCGATGCTGCAGGCCCTCAGTGCTGCAACCCTGTGATGCTGCAGCCCCGCGATGCTGCAGCCCCGTGATGCTGCAGGCTCTCAGTGCTGCAGCCCTGTGATGCTGCAGCCCCGTGATGCTGCAGCCCCGCGATGCTGCAGGCCCTCAGTGCTGCAGCCCTGTGATGCTGCAGCCCCCAATGCTGCAGCCCCGTGATGCTGCAGCCCCGCGATGCTGCAGGCCCTCAGTGCTGCAGCCCTGTGATGCTGCAGCCCCCAATGCTGCAGCCCCGTGATGCTGCAGCCCCGCGATGCTGCAGGCCCTCAGTGCTGCAGCCCTGTGATGCTGCAGCCCCCAATGCTGCAGCCCCGTGATGCTGCAGCCTCTTGATGCTGCAGTCCCCTGATACTGCAGCGCTGCAATGCTGCCGGCTCT